TTCCAGGCCTTGAAAACAGCCATGATAACCAAAGACCTCTAGCAATCTAACTGAACAGACATCCTCAATGCTTATGTATCTACAGGCGAGCACGTCACATCCCAGGAGTGGCACTAATGCTTTGGTGCACACCGAAGGATCTGGAGGTGCTTCTCATGAGACAGTTTGATCACGAAGGCCCAGCTGAAGAGCTGGTTTGCTGAGCACTACCACTCTTTAGCAGAGCTGATCGTGTCAGCAATCACTCCTGGATTTTAGGATTCAGACGGGTTTCTGAGAGCCTCAACCATGTGCCCTCCTGCCAGGAGCTGTGGTTTCAGGGAACTGTCCCATTTATCAGCATTTTCCTGACCCCTAGTGACAAGACGTGGCTGTACAGCAGCCTCTGAACGTGCAGAACCAAACTCTCCTGCATAAACAAGGAGCAAAACTCGCTCTTTAAGATGGGAGAAAGGTTTTTAAATCTGTCAAGATACTTACCCTCAGAAACCCTTGCGAATTTGCTAGAAAATCCAACCTGTTTAGCAAAGAAACTCAAAATTCGACTGAAAGTCAGGAAACAAACTGAATACATTACGCCTCCCTTGCACCAGGCTCCAGCTGTGCCCAGGGAAGCTGTTACAGGATTAATCCATCAACAGACTGGACAAAACAAGGGGTGGGGAGAAGGCAGTTTTGACATATTACCCTCCCACAAGGGCGAATGTTTCCTGCTGCAGGGAACTGAGCAGCCTTGGCAGGGCAGCAAACTGCATGATCTCACCACCATCTGCAATGGACCATGGAGCAAACTCCTGGGGACCTGAAGGACATCACTTGTGACACAGGAGTACATTAGCTGCCAGCACCTATGGCCCTTGTTTTTGTCCTGCCACTTGGTTTCAAGGACAAACACTGAAGTCAAAACAGGATTATTCTGGTCCAGCTCTAGAGTTTTCAAATCTAATTCATGCCAGGCTTGTTTGTGCATTAGCTAGCAAAGGGCTGTCTCTTCCTGCACCAGTATGACACAGGAGAAGGCACCCGTGGCAATGTGCACTCAGGTACTTTGGACTCAGCCTTGCAGCATCCTCCTCCTTTGGGAAACATCCCTTCAGCACAACATTTCTCCACTCCTAGATACTATGATATTCCACCGTCTTGCACACCGTCATCTCCCACTTTGATATCCATGTTTTCTACACATTTAAAATGGTTATGCCACTGCACATTACCTGACATCAAGGCTCTTTATGTGAGCAGACCACAGAAGCTGCAGTTTCTACCAGCCTCCAATTTATTTTGTTCACTGTGTTGAGGCCAATTCCCAGCCCTCGGTGACTGTGATAAAATGATGCTACAAGAGGAAGTCTCACACAGGAATAATTAACAATTCATCTCTATTTATTGGGCCCTTTTGTCAACTTAAACTTGTCACAACTGCCATAAATCCCTTCCAGTGCTAAACAAACTCTTTAATTAAATCTATTGTGCCACAAGAGCAATGCTTCAGATAGCAGCAAGTAGTCAATGATGAAAGAGTTTGGCCCACCCTGGCTTAAAAAACCCTTTGTGGGGGCTGAGGTTCACCAGGGGACTGTGACCCTGTCCCCAAGCTACTTGTTCAAATGGATTTAGTATGGATGCAAACTCTGAAAACGTATTCCTAGTGAATTCCTGGGGCACGGCAGCTGGTTAATTGTTTTCCTGCTGACTCTGCAGTCGTTCCCCCCTGCCTACAACATGAGTTTCAGTCTCATCAGAGGAGCAACCTCAAAGCCATAAATACATGGACAATTCAGTACCCACCAGGCAAAAATCTGTTCCCACATCTCGTGGGTTACTAACAGTTCTCTGGCCCTGCATCTCCCCATTAAGGGAAGAGAGGTGAAACACAGGAATCCCTTGTCCCTCCTGAATGGAGGGAAGAAGGAATGGCAGAGTGTGCCAAACCTGAAGAAGAGCCAAGCACAGTAGTTAAATGGGAAAAAAAAAGTACACCCAGGGTTTTCCAAAGGTCTTTAAGGAGCAGGGACATGGTGACATAGGATGTAGTTCACATCCTGTCCCCAGCTGCAACCAGAACTGGACCTAGGAAATGCAAGAACACAGCAAGCACAAAACCAGCTGCTCCCTTTTCCTACCTTCACCTACTTTCACAGCCCAGATCTTCACATGATGTGTTCTACCTAGCTGGGCTGCTCCCAGACATGACAGACAAGCCTCTCCCATGTAGTGCTGGAGGACACCCACCCTTCTTCCAAAGCACAACATAAACCAAACACCTAGCCCTATAACGCACCTTGCTTGAGATAAAGACTCCTTCTGCCAGTGTCATAAGCAAACATCCTGCTGCCAAGGCAGCAGCTCTGCTAACAGCCTCTCCAACGCAAACTTGCGTTGCAGCAGAAGAGATGGCAGGAGCTACCACTTTGCTGGTTAATCCCATTTGCCTCGTGAGAGGTTGCAGGAAGCAAACTCAAAGTGAATTTACTATGACTTGAACCATGCTAATGCTAAACCCCGTGGGTTTCCAGGGGTGCCTGGAAAAGCACGCTTGCGGGATGATGGCACTGAGCATGTTTTTAATACTTTCAAGTGAGGAGCCAGCACAGACTATGGAGAGGGCGCTGGGGGTAGGAGAAGCAGAAAAGGAAAATAAAACCAAACCCAAGCAACACTTGTTGCTGTGTTGCAGAATCCTAGGCTGCTGCAGGTAGCTTCCCTCCCCCTGCAGCAATGCCCACACTCTCCACATCTCTTCAGTGATTGCAAGCAGTCACCCGTTGCAGCCAGCACCCTCACGGAAGGAAGCTAGCATCCCTGTTCCCTCAAAGGGACCATCAAAATGTGTCAGGGAGCGTGAAATGAGAAAGGGGGGGGGGGAATTCAAAAGGCAGATCTTGAGATGGGAGACAGTACACAGCTCTTAACCAAAGCAGCCTTCAGGGTCAGATACGTTTTGTTGAAAACTTACTGGCTAAATAAAAATAATAGTAGGTGAGTCATATGAGAGCTCCCTTCAAACACACAGGAGCCCTTGCAGGTATGTAACAGGAACGTATGCATGTCAGTTTGACCTTGCCAAAAGAAGCACAGCTCTCAACTAGACAAAAAAGGAAGTTAAAAAAGAGCAAAAATCTGCTCCCAGGAAATAGACATGCCCCTTGCAGAGGGGCTGCAACCTGCCACCTCAACCAGCATCACTCAGTTACTCGTTAAAAGTACATCTAAAGGGTTCCGTCTCAGAAAGAGAAATTAAAGTGGGGCAGAGGGGGAGTTTCTGCACTTAGGGAGGTTCACCAGTTAAGTTAGCAAAAGAATCCCCTCGCCACGATTTCACACCACAGTGCAAGGAAAAATCTCAACTGCCCTGTTGACGCTCTCAGCAAAAGCACACCAGAGATCTCTCTCATGTACGGTTGGCAGTTAAGGCTTGATTTATAACCTAGGAAGGCAAATGCCATTACAAAGGAGCTAAGTAATCAGTATAATTAATCGCTTTTCTGCCGGTGTTCTTCAACCACAGAAATTCTTACCTCTAATGAGCTGAGGTGTCTGTCAGTTGTTCTGTACTGGCAGCACATGTCTCGGCAAGGTAAGCAGGACTGGCTCCCAGCTGTGCCAGAACAAAATCCAGCAGAGAGAAAGCAGGATACCATGAGAGATGGAGCATTTGCTTCCTCCCTGGTCTCCAGGGAGAGGAGGAGGCCAGCAGCGGCACTGTCATCTAGCCAAGGTGCATTCAAGCTCCTGACAGGTCACCATCAAAACTGCCACTGCACTCTGAGAAAACTGCAGCTCAGAGCCCCTAAACATGGCTGTTACGTGCCACCCCCATATCTGACCTGCAACCTCACAGCAATATTGCTTCCTTTACCTCCTGCTTATGCCATTATTTACAAGGGCACTGCTGCTGAGCTGTGCTGATGAAACTGCTAGGCCTGGCAACTCAAACTTACACCAAGGAAATACTCTGCTGGCCTTTCCCACCCTTACAAACAAACCCACTTCCCAATTTCATTGCTACCAACCACGTAGTACACCTTTCTTTTCATCCATATCAAAGCTTCCAGCTTCATATCTGCACACAATTATTTTCTTCCCAGGTGCCGCATTGCTCTCCAAGACTTTTCTCCCTGGACAGACACTCATGGTCTCCCAGGATACAAAAGATGCTCATTTTCCTTTTCATTACCATCACAAGCAAATCTATAGAGGGCAAAAAAAGGAAAGGAATAATTTCCTTCCTTCTAACTCACCTGCTGGAGAAACAAATCATCTCAGTGGCACACGTGAACCCCAACAGTAGAAAACAAAATGTGCACTAGAGTATATACAAGGGATGCATGTCACACTATATTAAAAAAAAATCCAGAATCAGTTGCTTCAAGGGTAAAAAAATAAAAATAAAAAAAAAAAGCCAGGATGCTGAATTTCTAGCTACCATGTATATCAGCACAGTACAGAACTGTTGACAACACTGGAAAATTGCCTGTCACACAAGTGGGTTTATATGATGAGCTATGGGACATGGGCACAAATCCGCAGAAACAGGCCAAGGAGCAGCACATGGCATCCATGCAGACATGGTTCCCTCAGTAATGGCAGAAAGCACCTTAAAAATGCTCAGCAGTGTTGTCCTACACGCACTCCCCCCGCTACCCTAGCTCTGAAATACAAACCAGGCTGTCCTCAAGCAATGCAGCCGACAGCCTGTGATTACCACTGCACAGACCTCAAAGGGCAGAGAGGCACACATGTATGCTCAGGCAGGACCCCTGTCACATTCACCACGTGTTGCCAGCAGCATCCAGCAGTGCCCCAGCTCTAACTGCCCCTCTCCATCCCGTTCTGCCTTTTCCCCGTTCAACAGGTTGACACAGTGGCCCTGCAGGCGGAGGGCGGGTGGCTCGGGGCGGACACATCACCGCTCCAGGGACACCCAGGTTTACCCTCCCGCAGGCCCCACGGCCCCGCCGGCGGGTGGCCGCTGCAGGGCAGCGCTTGGGAAGGCGCGGGCAGCGGCTCGGGGTGGGTAGCGCCGGCCCCCTCGCCACGCCTCCCGCCACCCCGCACAAGCCGCGGCACCAGCGGGTACCGCTCTGCGTGCAGCACCGGGGCCGGACCGCGGACGGAGGGCACGGGCACCCACGGGCCATGGTAAGTCGGTGCTGGGAACTCCGGCTGGCGCTTTGCAGGCAGCGGGAAGGGACGGGGCAGGAAGGTTTGAGCAGCAGCTCCGGCCCCTGAGAAGAGGCAGGAGGAAAGGGAGAAGGGAGCAGAGCTCTGCGCTGTGGTTAATAAGTAACAGTCGGCACCGCCGGCTGCTGCTGCTGAATGACCGAAGCCAGCGCTCTGCAGGCTCTGTCCCTCTGGAAGAGGGAGGGAAAGGGTCCGCCGGCAAGGCAGCTCTGCCAGTGTGACCTCTGCTCAAATTCTGCACGGCATGTGCTCCACCTGCACAGCCTGTCCAGTCCACCCTGGACAGCTGGAAACCAGCTTCTTCACAGCAGGGGAGGAAGGGGACAGGAGCAAAACACACTGGGCCTTGTGGCATACCTCGTTCCAGCCCTGCCGGCAGCTCCTACTCGCTCCAGGGCTGCCTCCCTTACCTTCTTCTAGGTGACAAGTCACCCTTAAAAGGGAAGCGACTAGTTTGGGCAGAGAGGGTTGTTTCATCTCCAGAAAGCCCAAAGCTCTCCCAGTTTCCAGTGCTGGTTCCTTTCCGTCAGTTGCACAATGCATCTACTGGTTTCCTGCTGGTAAAAAAAAACAAAACAAAAAATCCCAATGCCTTGGCAGTTGAGAGCCAGCAAAAGAAAACAAAATAATTAAATTTCCCTAATGAGAACAGGGTGTTTTAAAGGAGTAAGTGCACATGAAAGCAGTTAAATGCCACACCGATAAAACCAGCAGGCTGGCCAATGGGGTGCAGGGGCAGAGAAGAGGGGAAGGGGAAGGGGGTGGGATAGAGGGTGCCCTGGGCAGTTTGCCATCAGAAGACACAGCCAGCAGAGGTGGCTTTCGTGTGGTCTTGGCCAAACCTCAGCTTGGCTGTACCTCTCACTGGTGCTAGGCTCTCAGAGAGGAGCTGGGCCTGGAAAAAGCCCCAGGGCCTGTCCTCCCATGTAGTCGCAACCACAGAAAAGGACTCAGAGGACAATTACACTACGACCCTCCCAAGCAGCCTGGTTTCTTGCTCTGTCTGGGAAAGGCTGGCTTGGAACCCAGCCACCCGCATCCATGTCTGTCCACTTCAGGCAAACAACAGCTCTGGCTTTACATAGCCTTTCCTCTCTTCAGTACCAATACACAAGCAGGAGGTCTCAGCCCCTGGTCCCAAAACCTGGCACAGTCCCTACGCCATTCCCATCACAGTCCCCCAGGGCAGACCCCACGGGTGCCCCCCTGCCAGCGGCCCCATGCAGAGCCAGCCTTCTTCCCCACGTTATCCAGTTGCTAAGCTACCTGCGCCCAGCTTATCACACCATCAGCACGGAAGGGCAACGGCTGAGAGTTTATTGCGCTAAGGCATGTTTACTCACTACCTTCCCTCCAAACCCAGAGCTCGGGAAGGGATGGGGCTGACATTAGCGGGGAGGTGGTGAACCTGGGTCTGGCACGGGGCCATCCAAAACACTGCACAACTGAAGGGCAGCACAGGGTGGTTTGAATGCTACCAGGTGAGGAAGGCTTTCCCCAAGCGTTATGCAAGAGAAAGGGCATGCAGCTACGATGCCAGGGGGACAGGAACCATCCCACCTCCAGCCACTCCTGAGCTAAGGTTCAGCGTACACCTTGGCACTCCCCATTTCGTGAAGTGCTCTGCAGCTCACAGCTTTCTTTAAGCATAAGGGTCACAGCTGTGCAGATGGGTAGGCACCCACACAGCATGATCAATAGGGCATAACATCAATAGGGCATAGTCTTTCCAGTCTTCCTCAAAACAGGCAAAACCACAAAAACACCCACAAAAACATCAGCTCCATGGCTGCCTCTGGTTTTGCACAGCCTTAGAGTAGACATACTATAGGAAAGGACTATTTGCCTTAATTGCTCAGCTGCTTAAGATGCTACTTCTGAGCACCAATGCCCAAGCAAGCATCTCAAGGGGCTGCTGACCAAACACCCACCAGAAACTGTGTGTTGGTCATTGTCACTGAGAAACAACAATCCTCACCAACTTGAAAGATCAGATCACCCACTAGGAAAGAATTTTAATTGTCAGAACATAATCTGTCACGTAGCGCAACAGTCCTCTGTGCTCACTCCTTCCCTACTGAGCCAAAAGATGCACTGGCTCGGTTAGCTCCCATCACCAAGAACTCTATTTTAGTTTCATCTTTGCTTATATTCACTTCCCAAAACTAAGAACTGAACTTTCCTTATCCTCCCCCTTCCCTTTAAAAAAACCCAAATAACAGCAGTTCTGCCCAAGAGCAGAAGACAATGCTAAATCACAATCCTTCCCTCTGCCCTTTGTTACTTTAGACAGAAACAGCCTCTTAAACTCCATCGTAATGTAAGGGAGATTGAAAAGGCAAAGGAGCTGAACTCCAATTTAGCGTGACTCATCTCTCTGATTCATGCTTCTTTCTCCTCTAAAGCAAGCTTCCAGTGCAGATGACCTGCAAATAAAGCCCTGCTGCTTTAAGAAGGTACTTCACAAAGCTTAAATGCAAACCATTCTCAGTTCTTGAACCATCGCAGTTTCAGGTTTTCTTTTCAGAAGATTCTGTGTAATGTATTTGGGAGCTTAACCTTACACAGCTATCATTCTTAGTACCTCAGGTTATAATGAATCCACATTTATACTGGTAAAGTGGTAGGTGTTGCAGGTTAGAGGACAAAAGTGGCAAGTCGGACTGCCCTTGACCTTCATACCCAGGGTAGGGAACAGCACTGATATCCCCCGTCATCAGTACCCCCCACTTTAGGTCTACGCAGGCACTCTAACCCACCCACCCAGCCTGCAGCTGACTCCATGGGCCCGTAACTCCTTGACTGGTGGGATGCCTTGCTGCTTTGAACATTCACTTCATCCTACCTCTGCCACACTGATCTTCTCCTCTTCCCTTTCCTGTCTATGGTGTCAGGCAGGAAAAGCCCACAGGCTGAGCACAGAGGAGAGGGAGCAGCTGCTGCCAAACCTGAGAGCTGTGGGGTGGAACGAGGTGGAAGGCAGAGATGCCATCTTCAAAGAGTTTCACTTCAAGGACTTCAACCGGGTATGAGCATCAGTTGTATGCAGATTTCACAAAGTGGGATACCTGGTTTGCAGAGCAGGGAGTTCCATCTGCAAGGCTCAGCCAAAGAAACCCTTCTGTGTTTCTCCTGAAATGGAATGACTGAGCAATATAACCTGCCCAAGACACCAAAGTGCTTGACCAGCACATGATTTGTCTGGGAAAAGCTTCCCCAAAAGGGGAAAATCCATAGAAAACACCAGCAAAGATACAGAAAATCCCAGGCCTTCTATTTGGTTAGGTTGCCTAGAAACACGCAGTGTAAAATTAACAGTAATGAGCTGAAAAACAATATATTGCCAGGTTCAGAGCTATCTTTTCTTCTTATTCCACTGGGCAGGCCTTTGGCTTCATGACCAGAGTGGCTCTACAGGCAGAAAAACTCGATCACCACCCTGAATGGTTCAACGTGTACAATAAGGTAAGAAACAGGGATGGCGAGGCACATGGAGATCTGCAGGGAGCATATCCTTTTTTGAGGCATAAACCAGCAACAAGTCCTCTTCAATGGGACCTTTTCCGCCAGATGCTATTTCCTTCACATATCACAGCCAGCCTACAGCTGTCACTTAACAGATCCTTTCTTCCTCACGTGTCCAGCTGAGCAGTAGCTGCCTGGGTGCCAGCACCAGGGTTTTATGGTTTTTTAAATGAGTATCAGAAGCAGCAGCAAGGGGAAAAGTTTGTGAAGAAAGAGTTGTCAAGTGGACATAGGTGGGTGCTGTGACCAAGGCAGAGGTGGCAGTGAGAGCTTGTGGCCAGGATGAGCTGTAGGAAGGAGAAAACCAGGCAAAGTGCCAGACCACCTCTTTCTACCCAAGGAAATTTTGCGAACAAGCCTAGAGAAAGTAATAGCCCTACGTGCCTTATGAGGTGCAAACTGTTTGTAGTGCTGGGGAAAACCATTCCTGCTCTTTCTGCCAGCAACACTTGTCGCTCTGTCTGTCTGGTTTTAGGTTCACATCACCCTGAGCACCCATGAGTGTGGAGGCTTATCGGAGCGAGACATCAACTTGGCCAGCTTCATTGAGCAGGTTGCAGCTTCCCTCTCCTGACCAGAGAGAGAGACGCAAAGTCAAAAATCAACTGTGCCGCTGCCACAACCCGTATCTCGCCTAGACAACTGCACCTAGAGCTTTCCCCCACTTCCAAGCTAGTTCCTGGATCCAGACTGCCTACCACCATGCCACAGCTCAGACGGAGGAAGGCACTTCTTGGGCACTGTGCACATACCCATCTCTGATCTTGCCACTTCCATTCTTAAACCCTTCGTTAGCTGAGCACCACCAGCCTGCAAATTGTTGAGCCTCTGGGGCTTTCAGTGTACCTGCCCTTTTACCAGGAGTCATGTTACACAATTGCACCAGTAAATCTCTCCAGTGCCTGACCCCACCTAGCCACTTACTGTGTTATTTCTTACCTGCTGGAATATGCTTTCCACACAAAACATGGTACATGAACCCTTTGGTTTCTCTGTAACATACCAGCAACTGTGATGTGCAATTTGGTTATTACTGTAACCTCTCTCTAGCAGTATTATAAGCAGGCATGTGATCTCACCCCTGTTGTAACTGGCCTTTAGTAGGATACCAACTGAAAATGTTTACAATAAATGTCTTAGTTAACCTGATATCAGTTTGGAATGAGCCCTCACTGTCAAAACTATGCCAACAGGTTTTCCCAAGACAGGTACTGTCCTCACTGCTCTCAAGAAGGTGCTTCTGCCAGGGAAAAGCTTCTTGATAAAGCAACACAGAGAAATGACATGTGCCTTCACAGGCTTACACCTCAAAGTGAATGGGATCTGAAAGAGAGTAAGATTATCAAAGCCAGAGAAGATCACACAAAAACTGCTTGTGCTAAAGTCCATAGCCAAGACACAAACACAGGGAAGGCACAACCAAAAGGCGTGAAAGCAGCATAGCAGTGAGCCAGGGGCTGCTTATGCTGGAATACCTCCCAAAAAGGTTGTAGGTGGATTTAGTGGTGTAAGATACTTACTCCAGTAACAATGATCACTACATTCAAGGAGTCTACAGCCAAATCTCTGTGTTTCTGGTACAACAGGAACAGTTTGCTATGAAACCAGCAGTAGCTGCTTTAAGAACCATCTGGGAAAAATGCTACAAAGCCCCAGCAGAGAGTTGGTGTTTTGATTCTCAGGGGTTTTTTTAACCCTTTAAAGTTTTATAAAGTATTAAGAGAAAATCATAGCTCTTAAAAGACAATTTCTAGCATCTTTAAACATCACATAAGATGTAGCCATGAACACCACCTGTATCTTAACAAAATGAAAAAGTAGTCCTCAGGCAGAGTTTGAACATAAACTGCTCTTCCTGCAACAGACTAGGTTGCATGAGCAAAGACCAGGAGCAATAGGTCTCCATTCTTTCAAATGAGTATCAAAATGGAAAAACAAAGAGTTCAATGAGCCTAAATAGCTAAATGCATCGTTTTAATACAAACTAGGCCCTTTTTCACAATCTCTTCATCTATTTCAGCCTAAAGTTTTACAGTGGAAATCAGAGCAATACAGAATACTGCTGTCAGATGAACTCATCCCATCTGTTCATTAAAAAGTCAATGTGTATTTACTGGGCAAGATATTATTGTGTCGTACACAACCTTTCCACTCCCCTCTCCCGAAGTCATCAGAAAAGTGCAGATGAAATCCATGGCATGAAGACATACATCTCTTCTTGGTCCATCCCATTGGATATTCTTCAGTCTAGTACCTAGGAGCACACAAATCCCTTGGGAGCGCTTTGTAAAAGCACAGATTAAGTGTCTCACTTGAGCACCTGAAGGTCAGAAATCTTGCAGGAATCAGTCACGAAAATCCCCTCCAGGTCTCATCCAGTATCATCCAGTTTCAGACCATAATCCAGTCCATAAAATTCTTTTAGTCTTTTAAATAATTATGCATCCTTTTAACCACACCATTTTTCCAAGACCACTTTGCATGATAAAGGAGATGTAGATTACATGTTAGATGACAAGGATGAATAAAGACTACACACCAGTAAATTACAGCAGCCTATTCCTGATCAGAAGATTACATTTACAGCATAGAACAAATACACATAAAACAATTAAACCCACAAATATTACAAGTGAAGCCCAGAATAGAATACACTGATTTACAAATAACATCTTCAAATACATCCAAAAATGTGAAATGGAGCACTGATCTGTTAGATCCACCTACTTCCTCAGAGGAGGATGCAACTGGGGAAAAGAGGTTTTCTCTCTCCTTCACCTAGCCCAATCCATCCACTCTTTCTTTTAAAGCAGAAACAAAAGGAGTACCTCCCTTTTTTGTTCCGTTTTGTTTTTTAAATCTCAGTTCAAAAGGGAACCATCACAGTAGCCAGACACTTAAGACTGTCTCCAAAGTACTGCAAACTCAGATGCAGCAATGGTCACATTAGCAAGACCATTAATAGAATAAATAGGTCCAACATAAATGCTGACTGCCAGAGCTGGTAACACCATCAAGAGACTATCAGGCAATTCAAATGAGATGTTTTCAGAAGGGCTCAGAGACATGCATAAAGTCACCAATTTAAGGGCAGATGGTCAAAATACTTTTGTCTCCTAGCCTGGAGAACAAACCTGTTAAAAAGCAAGTATACTTCCCACAATCACTGGGCCCAAAGCTGCACTGGTTTGAGCAGAGACTTGTTAAGTAACCTTAGTAACCTTCTCATTAGGTATAACTATTGTACCAGTGTGTGCTTCAGCTGTGTTAAGCCAGCAAGGGTCAGGTTCTACTTCTACTGCAGAGAGACAAATGCCTTCAGACACCCTGCAGAAGTCTGTGCAAACGTGGCATGAAGTCTTCTCCCAAGTGGTGAACTCTACCTGGGAAAATCTTAGTAGCATGCAAAAAGCTGAGAGGAAACACATGGGAAAGCCCTGCAGGAGTAACTCTACTGCTGTTTAATAACTCAAAGAGATTCTTTCCAGCTTGTCCTTAAGGCCACAACTGCCTCACAAGCTGCACTGGGAAAAACTCTCTCACCATAAAAACAGTGAAGAAAAATAGGAAGGGTGAGTCACATGCCCAAGGCTTGAATGCTTCCCACTTGCTGCATCTTATCTAACATCTACCTCTCAAAGCTATACAAGCACCTTTATAATACTGTGAAGGGATTTGGCTCAATACAACTAGTATTCTACCTTACAGACAAGAACGTTCTCTGAGGCCAGTTTGCCTTTGAGGTTTTGTTCAGTATAGTACCATAAGAAAATGACCACAGCAAAGGTTGTGGTCAACAGCTGAACCTTCAAACCCTCCCTGGCATCCCACAAAAAAAGCCAGAGAAACATCAAGGCACAATGGTGAATGCCCTTTTGAGAATGTGCCTTAAAAGAATCAGTGCAAAGAGCAGAGATTACTACTATTACAAAAGTCACCTTTTTATACTAAAAGATCATGGTAAAAAAAGGTCAGCTTTGGTGCCATCTGTTTGCACATGAAGTCCATAGCCATGACACATGGCAGGGCCTGACTGACTACTACAGTCTTGTGAGATAGTGCAAAACCTTCAAGTTATGAACAGTGAAATCACTGGTTTGCATATCCCTCCAGAATTGTGCAAGGTACAACAGCACTCCAGGCGGCAAATGCATGTCTTCCAGAGGAGGCAGGGAAGCAGAACAGTTACTATGTACCAGCATTTTCAGTACCATCTAGTTCCCCTCCCTACACTACCTGCTTGGTTTCTATTTCTGATGTTCTATAAAGCAAGAGATTCCAGAAAAGGGTTTTGTGTTGCATACTTTTCTCCCCTCAGCAGATACCGATTGCGGTGTGAGATCTCTAGAGGGGATTTCAAAAAGAGTACATGACCATCTCTCCTTTGCCAGTTTATCGGCTCTGCATTACAACAGATATAAAGGCTCCCAGCACAGTCTGTTAAATGCAGTAGCTTGGAGGAATACTTGAAAGAAAACAAAATTTTCAATTTACACTCTGCCTTTAACTTCTGAGAAGATCGAAGCTTTGGAACACAACATGAGAACTCAAATCTAACACTTGGCTGGTCATCGGCTGAATACCAGGTCTGTGGAAGAAGAAACAGCAAGGAATGAAGTGACATGCAGGATACCTGAGGAATTTGGAGTTGTGGAATCGACATTGGATTTACCATCAATAGTTATGTTGAAAATAGGCAGGGGGAAGGGAGGAAAAGCCCTAAAACTAAAGTCGGGCATGAAAATAATGCAGATTTCAACACAGACTAAGATGGGGAAGTTTCCAAGATCAAGCCACCATCAGACCTGCAATTGTAGGAACAAAGGCTTACTGCAACCTCTTCCCCTAGGAAACCTTCAGAACCACCCCAGTGCTAGTTGGCAAGGCACCAATTGATGCTGTACAGTCAGTGGTGGCTGGGGGAGCCATTCATGTGCTTTTCACTGCAAGGAACATCCGTGCTGTAGAGACCATCCAAGTATGCCTGAGAAATCTCCGCTACCAAGCTCCTGTCTGGGACGGACTGAGCCATTCCATAGATGGCTCCCTAAGCAGAGAAGAGAAGGTTGTTACATAGGATCGTTAATCCCATCAGAGAAACATGCTCACCCAAACATACTCTCATACTCTACGGCTGGCCTCCTTACCATCCCTGTGGTCTTAGCATTGAGATCCTTCATGATGTCCTCAATGCTGTCTTTGACATCTTTCAGGAACTGTTCAGCAACACCAGGCTTTGTGTGCAACTGTGTAATGCAGAGATGAATGCTGGGCAGGCAGACAAGAGAGGAGAGATTAACCATTTTAAGTATGTACAGCCCCACATTTTCTGAGAAACTGACAGCAATTTAGTCTTTCCCTGGCCGGCAACAACTGTGTATCTCCTTAAAATAGCATTTCAGCAGTACAATGGGAGAAGATGATCCACTCCCTCCCAATTAAAAGAAATCGCTGCAAAACACTTGCTAAAGTTCAGCTCTTTTGCAGAATGGCAACTCCTCCTTCCTTTCTGACTTCAGCATACCGGGTTAAAGGCCTATAATTTTCTCACCCCATTCCAGGTACTTCTACTGAGAAAAATGCAGCTGCCTGCCAGCACAGTAATCCTTGCCCTCGTTTCCCTCCCCTTCCTCTCCAGTTTAGATAAGCCATCAGCCACGCACAGCATGGAAGTTAGCATCCACCAGAAGGAACAGGGCTACTTACACCTCTGAGCTATTGCTTCAGGCTCTCTAGGCTTCACCTCATGCTAACTGAAAGTCTAAAATTTTTTTCAGTGCAGCCACATCTGAGAGCACTGGCCTCTTCAACCCACAGAAAAACCAATTACCTACTTAAGGAAAGTCTCATTTGAAAACATTCATTTTACACCAAGCTGGAAATGGGAAGATCACTGAAAATGATCAGTCTTTCACTGTTCTTTCAATTACCCTCACCTTCAGTGGGCAGCGCAGGAAGATACCAAAAATAAATACATCTACAAACCTTCAGTTAACTAACATGAGGTAACACCCTGGCTTTTGTATTTTTCTGCTTGTATTAGACAGAGATAAATAGAAAGCAAGCCTCAGATCTGCCCTCTGCCAGGCTCATTAAAACTACCGCTGCCTTATCCTCACTGCAGTAACTGCTGTATATCAGCAATTACAAAAGTAATTCCTCCTCCTCTATAGAGGGAATTTATCAGATTTGGACAACAATTTATCAGATACAGACAACACTCACAACAGCTATATAGCCTGAAAACGACCATCTTGCATATCGTAGAATCATAGAATAGTTAGGGTTGGAAAGGACCTTAAAATCATCAAGTTCCAACCCCCCTGCCATGGGCAGGGACACCTCGCTCTAAACCGTATCACCCAAGGCCTTGTATCCCGGCTACGCACATCACTCCACTGGTCTCCACAAACTCACCTTGATGGAAACTGTAGGACATTTAAGTTCCACCCTTTTGCAGCTAAGAAATTAGATAATCGATAAATGTCAAAAGTGTCTGAACCGATGGAGAGGACAGACACTTCAGGCTTCCCAAGAATGAAGATGCTGTCAATTTTTCTCAACCTTGAAAAGAAAAAGGAGAAAAGAAATGACTGACCAGGGTTAGAGGGAAAAGACATTCTGTCCATCTCTCTGGAGCCCTAAGGGAAAAGCTACAGAAAGCAACAGATGACAGCACATTCAAACCAAAAAACCGTGCAGTCATCCCAGGCCACTGGGACTGGCAAGAGGATTCAGGTCATTATGGGCCGAAAAATAAATAAATAAAAAAATCAGGGAGAGATGGAAAAAACAGAAAACAGAGAGGCAAAAGAAGACACAGTAGCAGAGAAAAACAGCTTATCAGCTCACATAGCAACACAAGCATCCCAATAAGAGAGCATAACCCTTCTTTTGTCATCCAGACACCCCCTTAGTTATGGCTGAGGCAGAAGAAACTCTAGAAGCAAAGCCAGCTGAAGAAAGATGCCTGCACCCTTCCTCTCTGTGCCTCACAGCTATCTGGCACAGGGCAGCACCCAGGAATAAAAAAAGCATCTTCTCCCATAACTGCCCAGTAGATCCCTACCTAGCAGGCAACATGTTATAACTGCTCCAGGCAAAAGTTGCATGAAATAAATGCAGTTTGGGTGAAGGAGTCCAGAATAGGGTTAAACAGTACAATCAAAACGCTAAGGCACACACATACTCTGATTCGATGAAACGAGCCGTTTTAATGATCCTCTTCGTAGCTTCTACGTAACCCGATTCTCCTATGTGCATCAGAGTTGCCCAGCATGCAGCTATGATTCCACCAGGCCTGGAGCCTGCCACGGAGGGCGAGGCATATATGCCCCCTTGCCAGTCGGGTGCTACAAAGAACTGGTAGCTCCTGTACTTCTTGTCGCTGTACAACACCACTGAAGAACCCTTGGGAGCATAGCCATACTGCAAGGGGCACAGAAAGCATTAAAAAGCAGGAAGAGGGCACAGGAACACATTTAAGCACTCACCGCATGCAGTCACCAAGACCCCATTTGTACTCTAGGTTATTGCACAAAGCACCTGAATAGAGCAGCCCCTATCCCTGCACTTCAGTACCCCTCCACATAGCAGAGCAGAAATGTGCCTAAAAGCATGGACGGCACTGGGAATCACTCCCCAAAAGTAAAAGCACTGGAAGACCTTTCTCCCCACTTCTTACCTTGTGGGTATCAGCAGAAATACTCGTCACACCTTTTACGCGGAAGTCAAATGGATGCTTTAGAGGGAACCCCGCCTTGTCCATAAAAGCAATGAGAAAACCACCCAGGCAGGCATCAACATGGAAGGGGATTTTGTACTTCACCGCAAGCTGCGTGTGAACAAGAGACTCTAGTGAGTAACATTCAATAAGCAAGAAAACGTTAGGGCACCCAAACTCCAGTCACTAAAAGGTACTCTACATTCACAATTAAATGTTTCATGGATTGTTTGGGAGCATCATGCCACTCTCTAGCCATTGAGGATAGGAGATCTTGAAGGGCTGGCTACTTGTGGGATACCTTCTCCTGCTTTCCACATATGTGAAGATTGCCAGCAAGAGGAAAAAGAACATCTCATTCTAGTAGTTTGCTGTATTTGCCAAAGGGATGTGACAATGTGGTCTGAATATCTGCAATAAAGTGTAAGGGTGTGATCCAAAAGAAAAGAAGGTCAGAGGCTCTGGCTGGTTACATACAAAATAAATAACTGGAGCATAGAGAGAAAAATCAACAGGCATGTTTGTAAAATAAGATCCCAGCCTTGTAGCTTCTACTCCCTCCATGCATTCCTTAGACTTCTGTGCCAAGTTTGCTACGACCAGTAGGGTCTAAATCAAAGCCTTTCTACTAGGTGGACTATTTTGCTGTTATTTCATTTCAGGACTGTTTTGCTGTTATTTCCTTTCCGGTAGCAAAGAACGAGCCCTTCTGGCTGCTTTCACAGTGGGTGCATCAGAGCAGTAAGTGACATACACAATACATACCTTCACTTACAGAATAAGCTTATGGCAGACTTGAGAGTTCAGACACAAAGCGTGTGCAAAAGACTTGCTGCTTTGCCTTGCTATGACACAGCAAATACACCAGCTCAAGGCCAAAATCCAGTCCCATGCAAACAGCTTTACAACAATGCCCAGAGGTCATATCTGGTATTTAGAGCTCACCTTTTCACAGCAATTAAGGGTGGAAAAAAAAGTCCTATATTCATCCTCACTCTAAACTGCGTCCTACATGTGCTGCTGTTGGTTAACACCTGACCTGAGAACAGTAATACTACTCTACCAAGAAGCCTGCTCCTCCCACCAGATTCACTGGTTAACATCCTAGAACACCTCTGATGCTCTTGTACAGAAGGAGAAGATGGGTTTATTGCTACAGCACCCAGAAGTCCTAGGGGTGCCATACCTCTGCCACTTCTTCAATTGGGTCCATGATTCCATGAGGGAACTGGGGAGCGGAACAAACCAGCATGGCTGTGTTCTTTGAGATAGCTCTCCTCATTGCCTGAAGATTTAAAGAGAGAAGATGCTCATATTCCATTTACCAAGTGCCTGCCAAAAAAGATAAAAAGTGAACACATGCAGCGTCTGGTCTTAAAAACCAACGCACAAAAGCCTGTAAAAAGCAAAGCAATGAGCTACAAGAATCAGTAGATATCAACTGAGTCATTTAACTCATCCACTTGGAAATACTAGAACACTTTTGTTCTGCCACATCAGAAATTTGGGGCTATTTCTGAAAGACACAAATTATTGGATTCTATGTGAATCACACAGGACAAAGAAATGGTTTACATCCCACTATTTCAAACAAAACCTTATCTGCAATGACAAGTACTTACTCCTGCATTTTTATTCCCAGAAAGCATTCATTCCTCTCTATCCACTGACTTGCTCCCTGAATAGGTAGATTTCTTGCTATTTGTTATACAATGCCAATGCTAATTTCCCACAGAAAGAGTTCTGTGCTGCCTAAAGCAATACCTGAACATCCACTTCCATAGCCTTGGTCAATGGTATGTGAATCAACTTCAGTCCGAAGTAGTGTGCTGCTTTGTCAAATGCCGCATGAGCACTCACTGGGACCAACCTAGAAAAGTAACAGATTGCATGTGTCAACACAGGCAGCACCTAAGCTTTACCGTGAACAGGAGGGGAAAAAACAAAAAAATTCAAGCTGTAGATATCTGTGTGTGACAGACAAACAGCCCAACTCCATGTTCCAACTGGCCCGAAATCATACAGAACAAAAAATGCAAAAAGTTGGGGAAAATACTCTCTCATTTTCTGAGCTATCACACCTTATCAGGGCCTTTAATAGCATGCAAAAGTGTTACAGAAGGAAGAAAAGAACTGCAGAATTCAGCAGAAGATGAACACCACAGTGTTTCATCTCTTTTTACATTTTCCTCTCATAAGCAATTAACAGAGAAACATTTTTTGATGCACTGTATAGAAAAAAGGACATTAGAGAGAGCAAATCCTTTATTAGCAGTGTAACGATTAGCACAACTCTTCCTTTCAGCTCCAACCAGCCCCATCTTTAGTCCTGGAGTTTTCAGGCTAAACCTTCTTTGAACTGAATAAATCCAAACCCTTAAACACTTCAAAGGGCCTGACAATCTCTGCTCAAGAGGGGCCCAAAGCTGATATGCGCAGGCTTTGTCCAGAGCAGCTCATATCAAAAGGTATTGCCAAAATACATCTGCACAGAATAGCTACTGCAGCCCCCCCACAACATTCATGTCTCCCAGGCTGCTTAGTTTCCTGTGCTTTTGCACTAGCTCTTTCGACTCAGATTTCTCTCCTTCAGACACAGACAGACAAGGAGGAGATGGTAATGAGCTATGAAATGAAGGATTATTGAGGTCTACGAGCCACCTCAACTCAGAAGAACAGTAAATCCCACAAGCCCCCAAAGCAAAAAGCAAGATGCAGAGTATTACTCACATTTCTGGCTGTTTGATGCCTCTCTCATAAGCCAGGTCTCTGTATGCCTTGCAGGCCATCAGAATGCTCTCAGTCCCTCCAGATGTCATCTGTTGTGAAAAAAAAGAAGCAACAAGAAAAACAACCACTTACACGGATGCTGCCACAGCATCACTGTCTAGAGATGCTTCAGAGGCAAGAGATGCACAGGACAACTCAGGTTTTCAAGGGCAGTAGAAGCCACTGAACAGCTCACGGTAGTTTTGTGACATTCAGCTTGAAAGTGCACATTTAAGTAAATGTTGACTCTTCTATTTAAAGGTGAAGGAAAAAAGGGAAAGCAAACAAACAAAATTCAACTCAAAAGCCTAACAAGAAGGGATCATGCTGCACAATCACTAGCTGGCAAACATGACCACACCTCATGAAACTGCCAGTACATACTTAGCTCTTGATTACCTGGGGATTGTTTATCTGGATTACAGATTAATTATGCCACGCATATGGAAAAAAACAAAGTTGATTCTGTATTAAGTCAACTGAAGTCCAGCAGGGTTTATTAGGTCTGGAGCAGTGCCATGCTGGGGCACAGAGCCAGCTCACGGTTGGCTCTGCTCCTGAGCCACAAAACCTTCCCAGAACCTGCAGCACTGCAGAGCAGAGAGTTCCCTCCAACATTCTCTCTGCAGAGGCCAGCACAGGTCTGGTCACACCAGATCAGAGCTTCTAAGCTCTCAAGGACCCAAGAAATTTTACATCAGAAGGAATTTCGGCATTACTCTCCCAAGCAAGTCCCTCAATATCCACACAACCCACTATCTGTGCTTTCCCAGTCCTCTTTACCCTGACCATAGGAGAATAAGAAGGTTTACATCAGGAGGTGGAAGACAGGAAGGTACACATATAAGCCATTTGATCAAGTTTACTGTTGCAAGCTAGAACTCAAGAGCTCTTGCAAATAAATAAATAAAACTCCTCAGAGGAAGAAACTCCTCAAGTGGGAGTACTGTTTCTTGGCCAGCCTTTACGAGTTCTGACATCCAGGGGACAGAAAACTGTGTGGGCATAAACCTTCCAAAGTAAAATTTTAACCTAGTAAAATGTGAGGTTGGTTTTTCAAGCAGCCTGCAGGACTGGCCGACTGCAATGCTGGACAAGCCGTAGCTTGAGGACTGGGGGTACCTGGAACAGATATACAGACGTACAAGTGAAAAAGAGGAATCAAAAGCTACTTACAGCACTTACAGAGGATTAATTTTGATCCTAATAGCTGCTAAACCAACTGCAATTTCCCCTTTTAACCTCTTCCCCCCAAAAATTAAACATAAAAAGGATCACATTTGCATGCCTCAAGACATCTGCTAGTCTGGATTTTCCTTCGGGTTTTTTTTCCCAGCTGACATAGCTGCAAATCCCTAAAATGCAAAGAATTGTGACTGCATGAGAATGACTAAACATTAAGTACAGATATAAGGAACAAAGTTCACAAGCACACAAAACAGCCTGCCACGTTTGTTCCTAACATGATGCAAGCTAGCAACAGCTGCCACCACAGGCAGTGTGGAAGTGACTGTCACACTACAGACAATTTCTGCTTTTATGGTAGTTTAAAAGCAACAGCTGTCGCAGATAAACCCTCACAGAGCCTGACACTGGATGAAGAAATCGTTGCATTTATTGTGAAGGAAATAGATGGCAGCAGGAACACAATGTCCTGAGAGTTTTATGGGCTGTGTCACTTAAACCAGGACAGTCACTCACTTCTCCACCTTCCCATGAAAAGATCTGCGAAGCTGTCAGAGAAAAATCCAGCTGGTATAACATGGATTGCCCTTCTACTGCCAGGTGGGAGAAGAAAAATGAGTTTATCACATACTTGTAACACTGCTTGCAAAATTGCTTAAAAATTTGCAATGATCATGAGAACTTTGCTAGGCATGATTTGGGGATCTTGGTATTTACACTGCTGAATGCCCAGGCACAAAGACAGGCATGCAGATGACCACAAAGAAAGCTCATTCAGGCTTCTGAAAATCCACTGAATCCAAATTAAATTTCAGCCAGATCAGCTTCCTTAATTGGCCCAAAATCACCATATTGGTACCAACATGAGTCTCCACCATAGTTAGGTATGCCAGAGCAGCTTGATCTACAGCAGCACCTTTAGTACAGCATAGCTAGAACAGCAAAAACACTTTTGGTCTATGCAGTTTATACCTGCAGAGAAAGAGTCTGCTCCTTTACAAGACGCTTTGTCAGCCTAGCTCTCAACAGCAAACTCATTCAGTTATAGCCAGGGCTTGAATCACTGTCACGGGATGGAGCTTCCCCGCGGCCTGCAGCGCACCGGCAGCTGGCCAACGTGCAGTGATTCAGCACCCGCCAATGGCTCGCACCAGTATTTTTTTCTCTCCTCTAAATGAAAGTCCACAGGCTCAAGCCATGCCACAGGGAGAAGGGGATGGGAACAGGCACTGTTTTAAGCAGCTTGCCACCCCTGCACTATCTTCAAAAGCCAGCAAACTGTGCAGAAAAGGGAAGCAGACTTCCTTTTGTTCCTGATTTATTTATTATTTTCCAAATGGGAGAACGAAGGAGAAAGCACAGGGAAATCCCTGGCAGTGTTCAAGGCCAGGCTGGACAGGGCTTGGAGCTACTCGCTCTAGTGGAAGGTGTCCCTGCCTGTGGCAGGAGCTTGGAACCGGATGAGCTTTAAAGTCCCTTCAACCCAAACGAGTCTGTGATTCTAGGATTAGTTATACACTAACGGCTAACAGTTGGACCAGATGATCCTTGAGGCCCCTTCCAACCTGGTGTTCTCTCCTGCTTTCCAAACTCAGTATATCCCTTCTGTTGCTCCCTCCCTCCAAATACCAATGCTCTGGAACCTCAACATTAAACCAGTAGTAAGAGCTACAGTTTCTGTTCAGGGATTTCTTTGGCCGTGCCACTTGCATATATCACTGTCAGACTGTCAGATGTAAAAGAACCACTTTAGTCCATGGCCTCTAATTTTTTCTTGTATTCTCAACTTAGGAAACACACCCGTTCAGACCCTGGAGACAAAGTTGACCAGAAGTTTCACAACATTTTACCCCATGAATAAGAAAGCAAACTACAATTTGTTTCTAAGGTAGCATTGAAGTAAAAATACACCACAATTCACTGCATGGTCATAACATAGTGACAGACTTGCATAAAACCTCTGTAAACCTGCAGGTTGTAAATTCCACTAGTTGTCTCTCTCAAGGTGACCCACTCATCACTACAGATAAAACCTGACACATCTGCAGAGTTTAAACCCCCCCAAGACACATCACTGCATTGTTAAAGCCCTACTTCATATGTGCAGCCAGCACTACAACAAAGTTTGAAAGCCCCAGAGTTTAGGGGGAAAGAGACAAGATGGTTTCTACAGGAGGCTTAGGTTTGCATTTGCTGATTTTGCTTCCTCTCTCTCATTTTCAACTGCAGAGTAAGTGCAAAGAAGAATTCAGAGAGAAACCAACATCAACTACACACGTGTGCACACCCCTTATTCCCCCACCACGTTTCCCTGAACTTCAAAGCTGCCATTTGCTTTTAAGTTCAAAAAAACTACTAAAAAAGCAAATCATTGAAGCTTGCATAAAAGTGATGATTTCTCCCCAAAGTAGAAGGGAAATCCACAGCACTGCAAAACAAAGCACCTTGTGAACAGGAACATATGCACACATCAGACAAGAACAAACTCCTCCATTCCTCCTCTACTTGCTGAGATTAATTAGTCCTTTCAAATCATCACAAGAATATGATTAGAATCTCCTGGGCACTGAAAATCACCAATGCCCGCCTCTTTGCTCTTGTGTAGCACGATTAAAAGCAAGAAGTAGTAATTAGTGAGAAATAGGAAGCATCCATCCACTGCTGAAAATGATTACTTTTAAAAACTGCTTAAAACTTGGAACATCTCTCCATGCAATTTAAGGCAAAAGGCATGCCAGCACAACCCTCACCACAAGGGCATTGTTAGCAGTTTTATGCCCACGTTTAAACGAAGGAGAATTATAGCCCCCACGTTTCAGATAAAGGCAACTCCTGTAAATAATGCAAGCTGCTCAGCTGATTTAACATTCAGAAATCTAAAAAGGCATCTTTCATTTTAACATTTATTAAATACACTGAAAACCTTTAAAGAGGAAGTGGGGGGACTGCTCTCCAGAGATCCTGCCTAGGAAGATGCCCGCATGACACAGGGGAGGACCACACAGAGGTCCCCAGGCTGCTGAAAGCCCTGGGAACAGCACAAACGTGTCACTGCTGCTTTTCCCAGACAGAGCGGCAGAGTATAAGACCTCAAAAATGCTGTTTTGCAACACGCTGTGGAAATCAGAGCACAGAGGAAGTGAAACTGCCTCACTCAGAAGCACAGACAAAAACTTTTGGTGTTTTCCACATAGCACAGCCACACATACACTCTTCAGAAACACCAAGTTCCATCTGCCTTCAGGGACCAGCACCAGGCACCAGCAAAATTGGACAAGCAGTCCCAGCTGCTTAAATCAGATTAGTAAATCCAGTGGATGGGGATCTGGCACTAAGATGCACTGCTTCTCAGAGATGACAGTGATGAAATTCAGGAAAGAACACCCCAAACATTTGTCTTGGTTTTCATCACTGCAAGAGTTGAATTGAGTAAACAAGGAGCATTCTCAGCAGAAAAAGGCAGCAGCACCTCCTGAACAGATCAACTTGAAGATAAAGATAAATCACAGCATTGTGCCCTCCCTGGTTTAGCCATCTCTCCATTTTACAGCCTCACTGGTTACTGAAGCTTAACTATGGCAGTCTGAGCAACTAGCTACAGCAGGGCCTTCCAGAGACAGAAAGTATAGCATCAATCTGAAAAAAAAAAACAGCCCTCTTTTAAAATGACTTTGTAACTGTCTAAGCCTCCAGAAGTAATTCTGAAATGTTAATTCTGTTTGGGGGAGAAGAAAATAAGAGAAGTCTTTGAGCCCAGCTACTTAAAGAGCATGTGACCTCCAAATATCCACCCACATCTCTCCATCAATGAGTAGCAACTCTGGACTCTTCACAGTCAGGAAGGGTAATGTGAGAGGAAGACAAAAAGTCCACTGGAGAGACTCATTTGGACAAGATAATCACGGGGGTGCAATTAGGGTATTGCAACAGGGTACGCAATTAGGTAAAAAATAATCTTCTGTTTCCAGCCAATCAGCTTTTCAACCCTCCCTCTCATCATGCAGATTTGACTGTTCAACCAACTAGAATGTAACTGCCACAGGCTGCATGTTCATCTGTTTGCTTTGCTTCTGTTTGCATCTTAACCACAGCTTTATATCATGATCCTCCGGAGTGAGGGGAAGACAGAGGGAAAGGCTGGATTCCCCAGAGAGCATCTGTGGAGGTCTCATGTTAGCTGTGATCACTGTCTTAGTGTTGTGGAGCAGTTTTTTACCAATTCTGAACTTCCCCTCTTAGGCAATTCTACTTTTAGATTTCAGTGAAAGAGCACACAAGGCCAAGGTTGACACATTTACAACACATGCTTTATGTAACAAAAACTGCACACACACATTGCAGGCTTCAGCAAGCAAAGTCCTCCAAGCATACGATAAGTGTCACAGAGCTATCTGAATGTTGTATCAATTGACATCTCAGCTGCTGATAAAGTTCAACAGCTTTAGAAACAGCCTCTTCCCCACTCCAAGGATAATCTCACAAGTGTTCTCAGCACTGCAAGCCAGGAAGGAGATGAGGTGAGCTTAAATGCTTTTTATAAGCAAAAAGGAATGTTCCTTCTCTAAACTTGAAGGTAATACAAGGAACACAATCCTAAGAGGACAAGTTAGGCCACAGGTTGCAACCTCCTGCTATCAAAGGCAAATCACATCTTACACCCTCAGACACTGCACAGTCAAGTTTCATCTTCAATCCAGTTGGAGTTTGGCTGAGCTACACTTACTACAATGCTACTCCAGTACTTATCTCCTTAACACAACTAAGACTCAACTGTCAGGTTCAGGCCATTCAAAGCCAGTTCACCTCATAAGCTCTTGTGTCAGCACCCTTCCCACACTGATTTTCAGCCATTGCTGGCCTCTCTCCCTCACATATCTACAGACAGCAATCACCTCACACCCAGTCTCTGAAAAATATTGTCTAGATTCTTCTCATAAACAGAACTACTTCACAAGTTATTAAGCAGCCTGTTTGTATGCCAGCTGCACCTGACCACCATGCTAGGAGATAAGATCTCACTGACCCCCACACCACACAAAACAGGGAAGAAATTTGGCCTAAGGAATTGAGGATCCTTACTAAAAAGATAAGGCAGGAGAGAAAGAAGTATAAGAAGCCATAGCTTATTTTCATACCAATAATTCACCATGCAACTTCACATCTTTTGCTCACTGACCAACTCTGAAAACATCAGTTTATAAACACCCATCTGGACTCTTACTAGGAACACTATCAAGGCTTTAAAACTGGTTTCCACTTTAGTACACTGGAAGGCCACGTAAGCCTGGAAAGTCAGATTTCCAGCTGGACAGATGACAATACATGCCATGCCTGCTTGATCACCAACACTTGGAGCTGTTTGTTGGTGACTAGCCAGCTAGCCTTGTCCTTAATCAGAGCATTCTGGCAGGCTCACAGATTTCCAGTTCAGAGATTGAAACTGAAGGGAGCTATTCAAAATGACACTGCTCTGTTCACCATCCATCCTTGACAACCAGACAGGCTACATTACACTAGTTCTCTTTTCCCAACTGCCATCGAGCCTGTATCATTTAAGAGTGTAAAAAAAAGGCTGAAGTAAATAGTCTTGTCCAGAGAAGTAGTTCCTTGAGTTAAATAGTCTCTCATAAAGCTTCACCAAGAGGAGCCATTATCAGTTGCCTTCCATACAACTACGTTGGCATAGCATATACCAGGATGAGCCTGACCTCCACCTAGACCAGATAGCGGAAGGTGCATTTGCACTTAAAGTCAGAAATATCCAAAATGTTCAGGGGACACATGAAGACGGGCTACTTACAGCACCACAAGAGTTGGGGCCCCCATTGAAGAGTGTACAGGCAACCCTCACTACTTCTGCTTCCATCTTCCTCAAACCAGGGAATATATCCGGATGGAGAGGATTACTCCAGGCAAACTCTTCATACACCTTCAGAAAACAAAGACAGAAAGTTAGCCTTGCAGATGAAGCACTGGATTATCAGTGCAGATTTGAGAACTTACTATATGCACTGTATAAGCAAATTAGCTGCATTTAGTTGTAACAATACTGCAGATCTCCTTGGACTTAACTCCTGCTGCAAGTAAATACCACAAGCCAGGAAGCTACAGCTGAGGGGTGGGGAAAAAAAAAATATCATTTGTTTTCCTAGGGCATTCTGACCTCTGGAGTGATTCTGTAACACAGCAGCATTTCTTGTTTTAAAGACAGGTTTAACCATTTATCTGTTTTTTAAAAAGAACACAAAATGCCCCTATGATTTCTTTAGGAAAGGCAGGCCAAAAAGTTACTTTGCAGAACTAGTTTTCAAGTTTACTATTAAAGGAGAATTCTGAAGCAGCCAGAAAAGCACAAATGCCCACCCACACCACAACAAAAGCTGCTGTGAAAACCAGTATTTCATGCTTGTTCTGCAACTGTGGACTCACAGGATAAGGCTCGAACAGACCAGTTCTGACCTCCTGCAGTCAAGATCAAAAAGCAACTGCAGGGATGTTAAAAGAAATACAGAAGAATAAACCAGCAAATAATCAGCAAAGAGGGAATGCTTCCACAACATTCAATCCAAGCTGAGGCCCCCCTAGAAAGGCTGCTCTGAACTCCATGTTTCCCCAGAAGTGGCAAAGAAAATGTCAATGCACAGAAGAAAACAGCAATAGCCACCACCAAACAGCACTCTTCACAGCTGTTATAAAAGCTTTCCCATGAGCAAGGCGGCTTGTTAGCAAAAACCTTTCCTGAAGTAGATATATTTGAAAACAGACCTTTGGGCTGTTTAGGTTATTTTCCAACCTTCTCGAAGGGAAAAGTTCCCGAGTAGGTAAACAGACCTAACAAAGACACCACTGAAGCATGCCAGTGCTCCACTGTTAGACGATTTTGACCACATTGTAATGCCAAAAAACATTTTTCAAACTTGTATTTTGCTTAAACCAAGAGGAATTTAGTATTGCTTAGTGAAGCTGTTCCAGTCCAAGGGTTCCACAGCCTCCCAGTAACAGGACAGCCAAAGGTAATTTCAACTCAGACCACAGTGAAGGAACAGCTGTCAGGAGGCTTGCTGAAGCTGATCTACGGCAATTCTATGCCTTCCACCATTCCCTGAGTTAGAAGGTCAGAACCAGTTTCCAGTTCACTTGTTACCAGCTTCGTACCTTTTACATCTCATCTGATTTGATTCTAGTTATCTTTATTTTCTCAGAGACAGTCACTTGCCCAGGTTTACCCTGCCTAAATGCTTTGCTTAATTCCCCTTCCACCTACACTTGTCCTAGGCTCTGTCTTTACAGTTCAGTTTCAGCTCTTCCCTATTTATTTTGAAAGATGCTGCAACAGTGTTGAGGATTATCTTCAAAGATGCAGTTACACCGTTTGCACTTTACCTTCACTAGCAGATGGGTGAGTTTTTCTTCACCACTGTACACAGTCCCAGAGACTTTCCCATCCTGCCAACGTACATCTCCTGAAAGAGAACACCACATTGCTTGGAAACACAGCCATTCTCAGAAAGCACATAGAATTGCACAGAGAAGTCCCCTCTGAAGATGAGGATTCCGCTTTTGAGATCTTTCTGATGAGGAACAAGTATAATTTTTGTGTCACACAGATAGATGTGTGTGACACTAAGCCTCTGGCATCACGTATCCCATGAACTTAGCAAACTGCAAATAAATGATGACTAAAGAGAACATAAACATCTCGCTGCAGCAAGCAGTTATATTAATATGTAATCCACTTAATACCCATTCAGTCTCCCCAGACTGCTGTCCAACCAACTGAACTCTAATTTGGCTAAAGCTAAAGACACTTTCAAAGAGCACCCATCACCACTGTAAGCTGAGAAGAGATGGGAAGGCCAAGCTTACACTGCTAAAACCTACAGTGCTGAGCACCTCAAATTTCACCTAAAATGATACAATGCTGAAGCTTTAACAAATGAGAGCAGCTGGATGGAACAGCATCCGCAACACACCGTGTTGAAAAGTGCTTCAGCCCACTGTCCAACGTGACTGTACTTAAAACAAGTAGCTTTCTACCTCCAAACACCCCAGCAGTGTATTTCCACTTGTTTGGTTCTTTGCTCCCCTCTCCTAACTGTTAGCCTTTATAAAACTCAAGGGTATCAGCTTCACAAGGATATACAATGTGAACATAGTCACAATCCAGCCCTCATTTCTAAGGAACTTTCAAAGGGGAGTGTCTGGGAAGGAGGGGAACATGGGAAAATTAAAAAGGAAAGAACCAGGTAAAGGAAGGAAATAAAGATTTGAGGGGAAACGCAGACAGCTGCTACATAAGCAATACATAAAAGTAGAAGAGAAGGAAGCTGTTACAGGATACTTCACTACAAAAGGGTTTCTGAATTTGGAGTAGATGCACTGTTCTAGCAGAAAATTGATGATATTTCTCAAATTTTGAATAGGAGTAGGGGAGTCATATCTTCTCTGTACAGCAAATCACCCAAATTTGCTTATTGGGAGTAACAGGTACATAAATTGGCGTGGAGGTATTTACACGAGTGAGGCAACTCAAGTTTCAGATTGCTTATGAAGCTAGAAGAACATAATGACTCTACCTTCCTTAAATGGCTTTTTAAGTGCAAACCATTGTGACTTTGATTAACAGAGTCTTGGAAATTCCCTAAAACTCCTACTTGGAAGTTTGTTGGTTGGGTTGGTTTGTTTGGGTTTTTTTTAATTGTGAGTATTCCCTGGAGCTTCACAGAAAACATGTTTCTGGTAAAGTCAAACATCAAGGCAACTGCTCAGAAACTTAATCAAAAAGACATCCAAGTAACTTCCTCCCATCATGAGTCTAGAATTCTTGGGGTAAGAACAGAATTTCAATGTAAATACCCAAGTGCAGTATTAGAAGTCATGAATACTGATCTTAGTCACTTCCAGAAAGAAGAGAGACAAAAATTTGCAAGCAAAGAACATCAGGGAAGAAATATTTAAGATGAACCCATGAGCAGGAGTCATTAGAACTCATTTAAGAAGTAAGCCTAATATCAGAGCTATGAAACAGACCCACCTCTGCTGCAGTAGAGACTCACACTCATACCTTTTGAGCTGTACTCTTTCATCTTCTTCAGTACTTCAGGCTGACTCATGCCTTGTTCCGGCAGTGCTTTGATATAATCCTTTTCATCTTTCAGGAAGGATAAACTGGAAGTGACATCATTCAAGGCTTCATCAATCTTCTTTTGAATCTACAAAGAAAGGAAAATACTATCAACAAAGGCACTGGACATATTAATTGTTGAATGCATGCAAGATTGAACTCCCTAGCTACATCCATACTATTGAGAGGAACAGACAGGAACTTTTTCATCTCTATGAGCAAAAAGCATAGCAGAATTCACAGCCACGCAATTCAACTTCTCCTTCCTACCAACCTCTCCCTCAAAAAACAAGCTGACTAGAATAGCAAACTGGCATACACTAGTCTCTAAACCACCCTGGGAACGGCCTGTGGGAATGGTAGCTGGTTTCAGCTGGGACAGAGTTAATTTTCTTCCTAGTAGCCAGTGCAGTGCTGTGTTTTGGCTTTAACCTGAGAACAATGCTGGTAACACACTGATTTTTAGTTGTTGCTAAGTAATGCTTACTCTGATCAAGGACTGTTGAGTCTCTCATGCTCTGCCACTGAGAAGAGGTGCAAAAAGCTGGGAGGGAGCAGAGACAGGACACCACACATATTTAGAAACTTGTGAAAATAAAAGCAATAAAGAAATCTCCACTACACAGGAGATTTCTTTCTTCCCACCCCCACCTTACATTCAGGAGGCCCAGACTTCTTCTCATAACACATTCCAAAGTTGAGATTCTTCTTCCAGGCAACATAGGGATTGAGATATTATCAGCTTTAAAGACTTTTGGACATTGGAATGCCTCAAAGCCAAGGCCTCCTGTAAGCAACTGAGAGGTTATCAGGTATCAGTCTACCAAAGAGCAGGAAGATTACAGAGATAGGACACACCAGGAGTCCTCTGGCACAGGACAGCTTAACAGCTCTAGCAGTTGGAAGGTAAGTCTGAACAAAACAGGGATTGCATACAAGGGCTTTTCTAACAGGCAGACAAAAATACAAGCAGAAGAGAACAATTAATTAATTCATCTGATCAAAGGCTGCTCAAGTCAGAAGGTGAAAGATGAAGCACTTGATAAGACATAAAGGGGAGATGCAAGTCCCTTTCAGAGGGCTGGAGAAAAAACTTGAGAACCACTTCTATGTCCACTGCTAAAGGAAAAAGTTCCTCTTTGCTACCCTCATTTGATAAAATTGCCTATAACAGATCTGACCCCCTGAATCAATGTGTAAATATGGCGACACCTCAAGCAGAAAGAAGCACAATCAAGTATGATACCAACATTTATTAGGTAAAGTAAACCAAGCTGTGTATTTCTCAATCATTAAATAATTAATACGCTAAAACATGCTCATTTTGTAGTTTTAAGTTTTTATGCAAAAAAAAAAAAAAATCCCATCTCCCAAACGTTAAAGTTTGCCTCATTTTAATGATTACAAGAACTACAAATATCCTTGAACTATAATCCTAACTATTGCTAATAGGTATCTCAGCTCTAAACTAATTACGCCAGTTATCTGATTTAAAAAATTGTCCTTCCATGCTGCACAACAAACACCTGGCTATCTCACACTTGCTCAAGACAGTTCCAGAAACAACAAATTGAGTTCAATCCTGTCCCCTTCATTCGTTATGAAAATTGTTTTCTAAAAATTTAACAAGGAAATGTTACTGGAAAATTCTGTAAACACATTCACTGACTGTTTTAAAAAAAAGTAGCACGCCTATTTATGAGAGTGATACCATGACAAAAAGACTAGGTAGGAATTATATCTTTCATTAAATCGGGTGGCAGCAGCAGATCTATATCCTCAGATCACTATAATCACAGTAACATGACAACAAAGATGCACAGAACTCTAAGTTCTCTGAGAAAGTTAAGCAGGCTGAAACAAGGACCTGGGATAATATTAAGAGAAGTGGTTCAAATACTCACTATAGCCCCGACAAATGGCATTTTTCTCAGTAGTTTAAAGAACTGTTTTTTAGTTCGGGATGCTAAACCTGAAAAACAAAGAGACAGAAATTAACCTGAGATGACTCATGAAACAACAACAACAAAAAACCAAACAGATTTAGAGCACAATACTTCAGATACAGCCCATGACACAGGCTCGGTACTTCTGATCCAAGCTAAAATAACACAGTGACCAAGAGGACATGGTGAGACAGATGAGCATAGCAAAGAGCGAAGTTCAGAAGTGGACCATGCTAAAGAAACATCTGGCTTGCAGAACAGCAGCCACCTATGGGAAACAATAATTTGACTCAGTTTTTTTACTAACAAGGGAATTTACACCCACATGTGGAATTTTACAGGAAAGAGACAGATTTTACAATTTGCTAAAATGAAGTTCTCCAGCAAAAAAGGAAAATACTGGTTGAAGTTATTTTCTGCCTCTTCAAACGAGAATAATACTGTAACACAAAAACACTCAGCAACATGAGGGTCCCAGAACAAAGGAGGAAACAGTACTTCAGCCATAATGTGACAAGGATCTGACTGGTGTCTGGCCATCCAATATTGGAAACACATGATGCAATGGGAGGCAACTCAGGGGAAGGGGACAGACAAAGGGAAGAGCAGAAGTTCCACCACAGCCCACACAGTAGAATGAGAGAAGCCACTGATGACAAACACCAGCAAACTCCTAGGGTAGCTCAAAAGGCAGGAATGAAATCAGGATGACACAGATGCTTTATAGTCACCAAAAATGCATTTTGAGTCCTACAGGCCTAGAGGCAATTTCAATTGAGCAGCAGCAGTTACAGGATGCTTACACCAAGAAATAAGTAAGCAAACTTTAAAAATTGAGCATTTTAGGACTTTGCAATTTTATGTGCATTTCCCACACATACTTCATATGTATTTTGAAATGCTACATAAGAACAGTAATTGCAGTGTGGCATATTCTGTAGCAAATACTCATTAACGTTCTGACAGTAACATTTCTATTGCATATTTCAGTGTGCACAGTTTCATTAAGAACTTCCACAGTGAGAAGACTGCAAACTCCCGAAAAATTCAGACAATCTAATCTGATCTTCTAACAGCTAGTCAATACTTTAAAAATACTGCACAGCAGTACAAATACTAGCCAAGAAGCTAACTTAGTCCTGTACTGAGCAAAAGCTTCATGTGATTTTGTCTCTTTCATAGATTTTCCCACTATTTAGTTACTCGCATCCTTAAAATTAAAAAGGCTGGTTAAGGAACAGAGAGGCACAGGAGTAAACACCAAGTTAAAAACTTCTATTTTTAACAAACTGCTATCGGAGTGTAACCCTTAGGCCTGCAAGAACTGAAAGGCACCATGTTCTCCTCTGAGGGCAAAATAGTTATCTCTGACCATCACACAGCCAGAGAAAACTGCAGGCTCATCAAAAGAGATCACACTTGAAGAGCTGTCAATATCAGAAATCACTCAAAACAGGAAAATGCTCCAGGGATGTGAAGAATCCACACACCACCACCAGATGCAATTATCTTGAAGACCCTGAGGATGAAGCATGCCTCCAACACTAAATCAAAACCACATCTCCTCCAGCAGGAAGGGAAACAGTCAAGAGCAAGAGTTCTCTAGACGCTTTGTACTTATGACTCGTAGACACTTTGTATGTATGACTAAGTTCACAAGAACCCAGCTCTCATAAATTCCCCAGGTTTGGAGCAAGAAGAAAGTGTTGCAACAAGTAAATGGTTTAGCCAAACGCAAAAGGAAGACAAGAGGAAGGGAAGGAGATGCAGGCACATGCCAGGCTGGCCTACCACACCCCCTAAAGGAATGGGGGTGTTCCATTGATCAGACAGGCCTTGACCTTAATTTGGAAGAGAGTTTTGTTGATACTAGTTGACAGCAGAAGGTCTGTTTTAACAAGCATTTGGCCTTGTTCCACCTTCTTTCCTACTACTACTTAGGAACAACTCTGTTTCCCCTCTTACTTCCCTCCAAACATAATACCCCATTTCCAATACTTACTCTCGGATTGGAAGAGAAAGCCATGCAGCCATACACTTATAAGTGTAGATGAAATCGTCAACCCAATCAGTTGCCAGGGCTCAAGTCCATCACACTGGGCATTCACAAAGCCTGTTGCTTTCTCCCAATACATCTGGAGGATTTCCTTGTATGGAATAAGGGCATCCTGTGTAAAGCAAAATGAGAATGATACTGAGAAGAGTTCAAATGCACACAAACAGGGCATGAAAAAGGTCTGTGAGTCTAGCATCAGTTAAAGAGGTGCTTTTCTGTATGCAGACCCCATGCTTTCCTTAATTCCTGTAAACAGAACAGGTTAGGAAATAGTTGTCACTCACTTCCAGTCAAGAGCCACTGATAAAAATACACTTCTTGACAGACTTCCTATACTCAGAGAGAATGCAAAGGGCAGACAAGAAAAATGCAAGCTTCACAGTCCCAAAACCCATCATACCATGATGAAGAGAAGCAACTGTGTTAATGTTTTTTTTCCTAAGAATTATCAGGCGGTTAAGTGAAGGCTTAACTACTGCAATACACCAGTCAGAAGGCAGTCACCATTCATTAGGTACCACCAAAACAGGTCTGTTACCTGTCTCGGGCTGGATTCTTAAAGATGCAAGTACTCAGCAACTCCTTAAGGTTAAGATCTAATTATTACGTTCCATACAAAGGGAAGACCAAACAAACAAACACTGCTGCTGCCAAAAATAAATAAATAAATAAATAGATAGATAAATAAATGACACAACAGAAGACTGTGATGCAATAGAAATTACAATGTCAAATTTGCAGTTACAGTCAGGACAGAGTCCAAGTATCTCATTAATAGCTTCAAAGCACAATCTCTTGAGTCTCACAACAGAACATAAGGGGAAAAAAAGGCTATTTCCCCCAAAATGGGGGTCTTCAGTGCAATTCTCTGGAAAAAGTTTTCTAGAGAGAACGCAACCACACCTTATTTGGAGTTATGACCAAAAATAAGTAGTGGGGTTGCTGCATTTTACAGACAAAAGCTTGTGCACATTACTTCCCTTTTTTTTAAAGCTCTTTCAGCCACCCCCTGAGCACTCTTCCAAACCCTTCTTCCCTTTTAACCCACCATCAAGCCTAGCTTTTCTGGGAAGCCTTCTGAGGGGGATCTCCAGTATTACAAAATTTCACCTTCCAAATGTCACAGAAAGTACATGGGGTCTTCTCAAAAGATTTATTAATAAACCTTAGAAGGAATACACCCTTGATACCTATGGTGTCACACTCTTGGTGGGGTCAGAGCAACTTGCAAAGACTGCTATAAACACTAAATTAAAAGCTGCTAAAACTTTCCCTCTTAGGACCCTTTACAGATTTCACTTTTTTGTTGGGGTCTTTTTTTTGGTTTTACTTGGTTTGGTTTTTTTTAAGGTCACCTTTACAGGTGCTATGTAATTCGAATACAACTGGAGAGGCTACAAACAGCCTTAAAAAAAGAAACCAAGTTCTTCCAAATAATCAACAGAGGAAGGCAGGATTCCTTACAAAACCCCAACACTAATGAATATTCACTACTTTTCAAAAGCTGTCAAATGCAAATAATGTGAGAAAGTTTAAAAATACGTAAGCAACCCAAGCATAAAGCTAAAAAATCCCAGCAAAACAACAGTGTCAAACCACCACAGAGGACTAATATCACCCATGTCCCAGGAGAGGCTGAAGGAACAGACTGAACTGGGCAAAAACAGGTCTGCTCAATGAGAAGCAGCACTAAGCTATGAGAAGCCAAATTAGCACCCATCCACTTGGCTAAAGGGCAATTTACGAATACACACCAGCTACTTCAGCCTTGGAAACAAGGCAGCCACATAAACCACTGCAATTAGGCAATGTCCTAGCTAATTCCAGTACTTCAATCCAGTCACCACAAAGCCGATCTAACCCTAGAATTTAAGAGAAGAGCTATCTTTTCCAACTAACCAGAGGTGGTACTTAAGTTTCATCGAGTTTGCACAATCTTCTTTGAAAAATCCCTGGAAAGGAGTGTTTAACCAACAACAACTTTGGTTTACTGCATAGGAACTAATGCCAGGATATCATTCAGCACTTAAACGGATGGAAACTAATGTGTCTCAATAGCTGTTCAACTGATGGGAAGAAAATGCTGCAGCATCAAATATTAAGTGGGTTGTGCTATCTTTTTCCTGAAAGTGGAGGATACAATAAGCTATAGCCTCAAAATCAAAATGGAACATGACCTTCTAGACAGCAGTCACTTAAGTCAATGGTCAAGTTACAATACAATAAATCTGGCAAGAGACTGTTCTCAGTCACAGAGAAAGCTCTGGACAGAAGACCCTAGCCAGCTACAGACTGTTAAATCACACAGTCCCCACTGAAACCACTGCACTCTTCAGCACACCATCTCTCCACTAAGACAGGAGTTAAAAATAAGCTTGTTTTTCTACATACAACCAATACTAGTGGCACATCTTGCATCCTGTCACAGGTATAAGCAAACCCACCAGAAAGGCCCTCCTGTTCTTTCTTTTCCAAGAGCATACCAAAGCAGTGCTCTGGCCTGTAAATTCAGGCTGCTTGACTATGAACTTCAGGTGACCCCAAGCAAAGTGCAAATGAAACATCTGGATAACCCCAGCGTGCTTCTGCATGAAAATACATTCTCAGCCACATTACCAGCAAAAAAGGCTCAGGTGAATAAAGACATCACGGATGAATGAGCAATATCCACCTTTCTGCTCTTAGCCCACCACATACAAGGCACTGTGCCTCTGCTTCCACTCACTTTTCCATTACTGAGATGCAAGACAAAGTATTTTACCTTAAGTCTACATCAAGCAAGAAGCATGCATGCCAGCACTGACATGTAGCAGCTCTGTGGCACCACCAAGTTTTTTCACAAATAACAGAAGATCTTCACTATGAACTAAACCATTGAAGAATTTCTTTGCCCTTCTTGCTTTAAAAAACGAGATCACTCCACAAAGAATACATTTTGACATGGTAAAGTTTTCTCTGTATTTCTCACTTTCTCCTTCTTCAGGCTTTTCATGCAAGAGTCTGAAGGATGAGACTGATCAATTTAGAATACTAAAAAGGAGGGATTAACAAAAAAAAATTAAAAAATTACCTGGAAGACCATGCCAATAGGTGAAACACAATTTCTCAGCTCCCTGGCTAACTATGCACTCTTTTTAAAGTGCCTCTTTGTCCCAAAGTATCTAGCAAGATATGAGAGACCTCTACCTTCTGAATTACTAACTTAATCCTAGAGAAACTAGAGGACATTTAGAAGGCTGCTTGTGAATGTATTCTGGTTTTATTACATCCAACAACATGTGATTGCAGCCTCACTGCTGTGGCCCAACACCACTTCCTTCTTTTAAAGCTTATGTTCAGCCAAAGCTTTAAAAGCTGAACAGCCCTAGAGGAAGCTGCTCATAACAGAGTAAAAAACAGGTGGATTTTTTTTCTGATCAACTTCAGCCAAAAGAAACATTCATCGCTTGCAGTAAGAAAAGATGCTCTTTCAGCAATGTAGGATTATACCATTCACTTGCCCCTGCTATTACCACTTTCCAGATGGACTAAAGAAAACAAGCTGGCCTGATTTTAAGCTTATCTACAGGACAGAATTTCATGTAAGACAATAACCTGCTTTTATGTGAAGGCATTAAAAAATAAAAGGTTTCCCTTCCCATTATAGCTGAGCAGATAAGTTGGTTTTATTTCTTTAAAAGAACCTTCCCCACACAAAAGCTTCACAAGACACAGGATTATTTTAGCAACAGTTTTAAAACCCAATTTAAGAAAGATGGGGGAAACAATCTCCACTGGAGGATTTGTTTTTAATTCTCAGAGCATCAAGACTTAGCCAGGTAACAGATAAAATACTAATTGCTATCATTAGGACTTACACTGTTCATTTTGTACAGATATTAATGACTCAGCAATCCACACTGTGTACATATTGCATTTTTAGCTCCACAGATTAGGAATACATCCTCAGTACTTTATTTCTAAAAGCCATTAGCTAGCTGAGCTGGTTCCAGGGACAGCACTTATGCCACAACAAAAGAGGACAAATTAACTGCAGTAATGCTGTCTGTCCCAGATGACAGAAGAGAGGGGGGAGGGGAGAAGGCCAAAGCTAATGAAAGCACAGTTTACAGTTTTGCCAGAACAGCATTTCCTCAGATTTGAGTTTTAGGAAGAGACAGGGAGAGAAAGAGTAAACCAGAGCACCTGACGCTTTTGTTACAAGTGCCCCCTGTTTCTGACACTGTAAAGTAGAACCACCATTTATCTGTGGGAAGAGTAGAAAAAAAGGTTTTATCATCAGAATCTTCCTTCTCCCCAAAGAGCATTTAAAGTGGGACACAGAATAAAATTAGCTCTTAAAGGAAAGTTTATTTTAACCACTAGCATAAGTCTTAGGTTCACTGTGCAAGTAGGAACTGCTAAGATCAAACCTCATCCTCACCTTTCACCTGAATACATATTTCCCCAAACCAGAGACCCTCTGACCACTTCCCCATGCCCAAACCTTAATGTTTGTATTTGCCATTTGTTTTTTCTCCTTTCAACAGAGCTGATGAATGAGCCAGCATAACACACAATTCAGCATATAGTAAAACAAGCAGAGAGCAACTGCATGAGGTAGGTCTGCTCTGATTATGATAACACATGGAATATGGGTATTGCCACTGTAATTAAGGCACATGCTCCAATGCAACAAGTTTTTCCTAGGACAACACTTCCTGACTGAAAATAAACCACACAAAATGAGCAAAGACACACCAACTTCATTTATTTATTCCGCCCATAAGAAGAAGGAAGACTTCAATTAGCTGTGCCTTAGCTAACACCTTGTTTCCTGTGCCTGCTCTGGCCACAAAAGGCATGTTTGGCCAGCCTAACTACGCAGCATAACTGGTCTAGCCGCAGGTAAGTACTGGACTTGCAGCCTTCAGCCAGCCAGCTTCCTACAGGAGAGGGAGGGAAGGGGATTGCACAATGCCACCTCAGCTTCAGATGGTGCTAGTTGCTGCATGTGCCTACAGTGTTTTGATTCGCACCCCAGTAATGAATCTGCTCCTCCATCCCTCCCTACTACCCCTAGTATGACAAATACCTTTACATAAGCACCAGGCAAAGAATATTTGTTAGTCAGGTCCTAACTACAGCTCAAGGTTTGGACTGTGTGCTGCCCCCCTCACCAAAGGACATGGGCACACAGAACAAATCCAGCCACAGGATCTCTCAGAAATCAAGAATCATGAACCTGTAGGTGTATGGGCTGAATTACATGACAGAAAAACATGCTCAGGTCACGCTCATCTTACCACAGCTTCCTGGTACCACCAGTTTCTTCTGCGTTGTATTTTATTTCCACTACTGCCATACTGAAATGTTTCCCTTCCCCCAACCCAGAGTGCCAGCTTTCGTTTGGGCTTTTTTGCCATACACAGTATCTGAAATGAATGTACACATACTATCCCACCAGCCCCGAAAGTACAAGGGGAGTGGCTAGACAATGGCTAATTACAGCTTAAGCACAAAAACAAACAAGGCAGCAGCTCAGAGTAAGAGCAGCAGCACCCCAGCTTCACAGAAGGAATGTAAAATTACCGAAACAAGATGGGAAAGGCTGATTGAAAGCTTGTAGGTTTACAACAGCTCAAAGGACACCAAAATTAGGTTCTATTTCAAATTTCATTTAACCAAAAACCCGCACAAGATGTTGTTACCTACTGTTCACTTTGCTCACTCAACAAATGCATAAAAGCAAAGTTTCTGCAAACGTCTAGGCACGCTCCAGGTAGCGCAGGTCTTGTAAACCTTGTAAGAGGCTGGATCCACTCAACAGAGGCCCTACATGAACTCATTACAGATCGCTCTGTGGGTAACCGGCTCCCAGAAGGTGCAGTTTCTGCGAGAAAATGTCCTCTCTCAGCATCCACAATTAGGATAAAAGAAGGGCTCAGCTCCCTGTGTGCCAGAACTCATCTGGACATATTTGTTCATTCCTCCACCTGGCATCCTCTCAGATGCAGATCACACAGCCCTTTCTGCATGCCTTCTGGAGAACAAAATGGGTATCTATTTGAAACATTTTACAAGTAGCTTAGTGTCATGCAGAGGTACACACAGCATTAAAATACAAAGTCTTGGCAGGAGCTGCCTGAAAGCAGATGATAGCATGGCAATTGTTCTAGGAACTGGCATCTGCAAACAAAGGCAGCACCAAAACCTGGCACAGTTTGCTACCAGGGTTATGTAAGCCTCCAACAAAGCCCCTAGTATCAGCACAAACTGAACACTGCTATTAGACATTAAGGGCCCTAATCTTGGGCAACTCTAAGGATCCTCAAAGACTACCTTATCAACACCAACACAAAAAACCCTTTGGCCTCTGTGACACCTACTCACATGCTGTTCATGGATGGCTTACAGTGAGCTAGGAGGGGCAAAGGAAACGGAAATGCTCAGAACACAAGGGCTTCCAAGTGACTTTTACCTGTAAATTTCTAGGAAACACAAACAATTCCTAAAAAAGGATAGAGAAAATTATATTACAATCACCACAACACACTGCAAAGAGACCAACACACTTGCATCAGTGGACAGAACCCAAATTTCAGTTACACATCATGCTCTTAGGATAGTATCAAAATGTACTTCAAAGCCCCTATTGCTACACTAACCACTAAAGGAACATAGCCATTTAGCCAGTATACAAAGAGATTCCAGTACTAAATGCTCCAGAAGAAGGTCTGTTAATACTTGCAAGGGAATGTCTTTGCTCAATTAGGATACAAAGAATGACAGCAACAGTTCTAGGTCAAAAATGCATCACTCCATTTCCAAAAACCAAAGAACATGAACAGATCAGGCCTTCTGAAACAACCTTCGCTGCATGTAGGTCTGTGGTGGGAGACTGCTGGTGCAGGAGGAGATCTGACTGAAACTATTTCCAGAACAGTATGTTTGGCAGAAGAGACAAGCAGCAACTTCAAAATCCTTACTCATGGCAATGGGCTCTACTGATTCCCTTTTGCCAAGTCAGTCACAGCAAGGTTTTGATCAGTGCCACACCAGTCAAACCACATACAACAATAAATGCTGTGATTAGGTTTATCTTACCACCAAACAGGGGAAATATGCACTGCAGAAATCAAAAGCAAGGAACAAAGCATCATCTCAGCAGAACCTCAGGTTAGCAGGGGATATCATCTCTAACTTTAAGGGTAGCAAGAGGATGGCAAACTCTGAGTAGGTTGGAAGTGCACACAGTACATGGGAGATGCAATATTTTTCTTCATCTAGGTAAGAAAATTTCCTGTGCCTTGCAACCTGTATTGCTAAGGTCATGGAAGGATCGCAGAGTAAAATCATGATTTTGTAAAACCTGTGATGCATCAGTGTTTGTCCAGAGAAAGCTGGTCCCTGAGCATACAGCCAACCTCAGTAGCTTTCCAAACATGAGGAACACTGTGCAATAGCTACTGTCTAGTCTAACAAATAAAACAGCAGACCTGTGCAGGTCTTCCAGACAGTAAGTAGCCGTTTTCTCTGCAAAGCCTTGGCACGGAGTGACTAAGGTGAGAACAGCCTGACCACACAGCACGCTTCCAGCAACCCCAGGCCAGTCTAGACCACACCGTGTACAAGGTGTGCAGTATTTACTCAGTTCCAAAAGAGCTAACTTTTGGCAGCTGAAAGCAAACGAAACACAAGCTGTGCAAGCTTACAATGCTATCCCAGGCTACCCATGCTGACAGACACAAGGAATGGCATGGGCCCTGCCTCTGTCCCCCACATAGAGGTGGTGACCCACTGGCTGGGCACAGGTCCATGCCAGAGTGGGAAGAGGAAGCAGTACTTGAGTGTCTGGGCATGGACAGCTGCTCCCTGTGACTGAGTGGGAAAAGGCAGTTGGCCAGAGATTATGCAATTTCATCTAACACCCAGTAGCAGCCACGATTTCAGGGTACCTTCCAGGGGGAAGAATCTACCACACCTTCCAGGTTTGAGGTCTCAGAAAACACATGCCATACCACTGCATACCAGAGCCAACTATATCTCAGGTAATCCCTGTTGCATCTGAAGAGTTTGCTTCTCTGCTACTTCTAGCCAAAAAAAAAAAACAAACAAAACCAAAACAAAAACCCACCAAACAAGAAAAAACAAAAAAAGGAACAAGGTCTCTATTAGCCACATAACTTTTAGCAGAGCTCAGATACCCTCCCCAAAATCCAGAACAAGTAGAAAACACAGTTTTTACCCAACTCTGACGAAGAAAACCCACAGAGACAGCCGAAAATACCATTTCTAACCCTCCCTGCCCAGAAACTAGACACCTGTGGAAAACAAGGAAAGCACTGCATGGCTAGCAGGCCTGCAAAAGGGACCCCCTCCCCGGTTAGGGGCACAGCGCGGGCTTCGCAGCGCCGGCGGGGCTCCGGGTCGGGGATGCTCCGACGGGAGGGAAACAGGATGGGGGAGCCCCCGCTGACAGCCAAGCTTGGCCAGAGGGCTCCTGAGATCCCCCGGTCCACCCCGCTGGACAAGGCCCCGGCCTCACTCCCTGAGGGCCGGGACAGCGCAGGCCGCGCCAGGCACCCCTGTCTCTGACCCCTCTGTTCGCCGCCTGACCCAGGGACCCACAACCCCGCGCTCCCCGCTCACCATCGCTGCTGCCACTGCCTCCTCCTCGGCCTCCGCCTCGCAGGGTCCTGGCCCTGCCCCGCTCCTCCCTGCCCGGTACCGAGATTGCTCGGCACCTCCCCGCCGCTCCCGCACGACAGCGCCCCCTGCTGGGCGCGCCGCGTGCAGAGCGCGCTCCCGCCGAAAGGGCGGAGCGGCGCGGAACGGGAAGCAGCCGGCAGGAGGCAGGGCAGGCTGGGGAGGCCGGGATAGAGGCTGCTCCCTCAGCTTAAAGGTGGCAAAATCAGTGCTGCAGCATAAGGAAACGCTGACTTAATTTTCCACTTAAAACCCTGAGAAGAGACCAAAAATAATAATAAAGGCAATTTATAAGGTCACCCTGGTCCCTGCCTGGAGTTGACCACCAGGTCTGCTTCCTCTCCATAAATGACCAGGATCAGTTGTGACCCCATAAAACAAAGGCTGGGTTTCAAACACAAGGAAAGAGTTGTTTGGGAGCAGCCTCCTACAAGCACAGGAATTTTTAGGAATCCAGGGCAAATAGCAACTGGCAGACATCCAAAGGGCAATTAAATCGTGGGAAGCAACAATTACTAGAGTAGTTCCAGCTAAAGGGAACCTGTGTGATTATCTAGTCCAACTGCCTGGCTACTTCAGGGCTGATGAAATGTTAAAGCATCCTAAGAGCATCATTCCAAATGCCTCTTAAACACTAACAGGCTTGGGGCATTGACTCAAGGAAACCTGCTTCAGTGTTTGACCACCCCTCTGGGTAAAGGAATATTTCCTAATGTCAAGGCTGAAGCTCTTCTGATGCAGCCGTGAACTATTCCCACATATGAAGACAGGCTGAGAAAGTTGGGGCTGTTAAGCCTGGGGAAGAGAAGGCTGCGTGGAGACCTCATAGCAGCCTTCCAGTATCTGAAGGGGTGCTATAGGGATGCTGGGGAGTGACTCATCATTAGGGACTGTAGTGGTAGGACAAGGGGTGATGGGTTAAAACTTAAACAGAGGAAGTTTAGATTGGATATAAGGAGGAAATTCTTTCCTGTTAGGGTGGTGAGGCACTGGAATAGGTTGCCCAGGGAGGTTGTGAATGCTTCATCCCTGGCAGTGTTCAAGGCCAGGTTGGACGAGGCCTTGGGTAACATGGTTTAGAGCAAGGCATCCCTGCCCATGGCAGGGGGGTTGGAACTTGATGATCTTAAGGTCCTTTCCAACCCTAACCGTTCTATGATTCTATGTCATGTGCTATCACTGGATGACAGGGAGAAGAGGTCAGCACCCCTCTCTCTCTGTTTCCCCTTCTCAGGAAACTGTAGACACCAATGAGGTCACCTCCTTTCCTTCAAACTAGACACACCCCAACTCCTTAGACACTTCTCATACACATGCAATGATCAACAGCTCAGGGAGCACACTCCAAGGACAGGACAGCATGGAGGCAGCAGGTTGCCTTTGGGGGACCAAAAGCAACCTGGAAAGAGGGAGAGATAGGCAGTGGCAAAAAGAAAGGGAAACATTTCAAATAAGTAGTCCCTCATGCAGTGACAGCAGAGCAGCCTAGCTTCAAGTAGGGGTGTGTTTTCAGGGCACAGAAGTGGATTCTCTGGTTGTTGATAAGTGGTGCAAATTGGACAAATATGACAGTAGCATTTGGCTTGTTTCCAGCCCAAAAATTAATGCATGGAGCAACTGCAGTTCAGTGTGCCACAGGGTGGTTAACTGCCACCAGCCTGGTGCACCACCTGGAGCAACTGCCCCTCTCCTTGGAGGTGGCAGGAGAAAATGACCGTCTTCACCCAGGCCTACACAGGAGATCTTGGAGAGCAGTCTGGTTTGAGTGTGGACTTCAATTTGTTTAATAATCAGGCATGTGTTTGCCAGAGTTTAATTGAAACTGGCAGTTATTTGACACCCATTGTATCCATAATAAAGCGTTTGAGATGCACCTTTTATTGCAAGCTTCCAAACATATTAAGACATTAGGTTCATTAAAACAAGCTGAAGATTTCTGGTCACTCCAGAGCACATCTTTGTTTTGAAATTTATAAACCTGTTCTTCTCTTGCACATATTCAGGTGTGGCTGTTCAAGCTCTTTGCACTTAACCTCCCAACGCTTTTGTTTTTACAATGGTTTGAAATGGGTATACAAGTATCCACTCTTGGCATCTGTAGCACAAACATTTAACTCTGTGCTGCATTACAAGTGGCACCTGGTTGT